CAAACAGTATGATACAAATATGTAAATTATTCATGATGTGTACTAATGATGAAACTGTTTTGTATCCTTTGTCAGAGTGCGTAGCCAAATCTTTGAATCAAAAATAAGCACTTTTTAAAAACTTTTCAAGCACTTTACAAAAATTTTCAAGCACTCAAAAAATTCATATTCAATCAATGATATTATTGAAAAACAAAAACTTTTTATGAACAGTTTTAGCGTTAAAAAAAAAAAAAAGAAACGGGCGTAAATCGAAACAATCAGTACTTTCCCACATCACCGAGTGAATTCAACTTGACCCTCAACTCATAACAAAAGTACCCTTACCCCCGACGTCAAAAAAAGTGTTAGAAGTAAAATAAACAAGAATAAAATTAAAATAAATTCAAAATAAAAACATTTCATAAGGATCTGATATTCTCTATCCGAATTGGAGGACTCGGGTTTCGGTTTCAAGTGTGCGCGCATGCGCAAGTCATAACGTGGGTACGACATGAAGTCCGCGTGAATAATTACGTAGCAAACTCCCCATTTTTCGTGAAATGCATGGGATCCACCAGATATCACTGAAGGGAAGAAAAGAAATTATATGCAAAAAAAAGCACTTTTTAAAAACGCCAGCTGAAAAGAGCACCTTTAAAAGCTTTTAAAAATGAAATCCCCAAAAAAGCACCTTTAAGTACTTTCTACAAACGCTACGCACCCTGCTTTGTACTTTCTGGATGTAATTAACACGATACTTTACTTCAACCTGATAGTTACAGAATTTTTATACTGTAGTTGTGCCACCCATACTGCGAACCTGAAGTGCTTCTGTTTAAAATGTGGTATTGCATTTAAATTTGAAATAATTTTCATGGTGGCAGCAAGTGTTTTACTTAAGATAAATCAGAGGTGACTGTATTCCGGGTGTACTCCAAAATCTATGGTTTTTCATATAATCCTCCCGGGTCTAAAAAATAGGAACAGGGCATGTGATTTTTCGGTGAAATTCCATGCACCTCAAGACTATTGGTTTTCAAACTTCCGAACCAAATATACATATACACATCACAAATTTATTCCACAAATAGATAGCAATTATAAAAATATAATATCAAAACTAAAACTTTTAATAAGCAATTGATAATTAATGAATTAAAAAAATCAAAACAAAAAGAATATTTTATAACAAACTTTATTAAAAAATATGGCATCAAAATATAACAATCAATCAATAATTAATGATTTTTGAACAATCATAGTTTCAAACTAATGTTTTCTAAACAATCAATAATTAATGATTTTACAATAATTTATGAAAATGTTAAAAGAAAACTTAAAATAGTACACCATCACAAATATACATATACTCATCACAAATTTATTACACAAATCGATAACAATTATAAAAATATAACATCAAAAGTAAAACTTTTAATGAGCAGTCGATAATTAATGAATTAAAAGAATCAAAACAAAAAGAATGTCAAACTTGACTCGCACCTTGTGCAACTTTTTTCGTGTAAATAAAGAACTATCCAACAGTATTTCTAAACTTTTTAAGGTAATACATTGATTAAAGATTTAAAACTAATAATTTCAACTTATTGATTTTGCCCATGCATAACAAGAAAACTGTTTTTAAAATTTCTTTTAAAATTCAACATATATATACAGGTACAGTAGAGCGCCGATTATCTAAACCCTTATTATTCGAACGTCCAATTATCCGAACTATGTCCGAATTCACTTTTGTTTTAAAGTTTAGAATACTTTTTAACTTGTTGACAATTTTTCTAAATTTAGAAGAATAAATAATATCCACTACATCTGAAGACCATATTTAATTTACAACCTTTTTTAGCAGCTTTTTTATAGTAGTTATAGATACATGCATTGTTATACAGTTAAACCTACATACCTCTCTTCAACTGAAAATTATCTTCCAAGAATGGGAGCTTCATTTTGACAGTCTACAATGGTTGGAATGCGAAAGGAGTTTATGAGTTTGGACTAGTGATTACAGTGCTTGGAATCTGAAATCTTGGAATAAAATTCTTAACAGAAAAACAAACGAAACCGAAGTTTCTGAACCAGTAGATCTTCCGGATGAAAAGATGTTAGGTTATACAGCAGAAGAAATAGAAGACTGGTGTCGAGACACTGAAAACGACCCAGGATTTCAAATTTTAAATGATGATGAAATTGTTGCTGAAATTTTGAATAAAAATTGGAACTCCACAGATGAAGAAGTAGGTGATCAAGTTCAAGATAGTGGACCTTCTCATATAGAAGTATGCAATTCATTAGATATTGCAATGAATTGGCTAGAACGTCAAGATGATGTTGATCCAGTGCAGTTGATTTATTTAAAAAGAATAAGGGATATATGGCTGCTCAAAAAAGAGCATCCTCTTTGAAACAAAAGTCTTTGCTGGATTTTTTTTGCAATGGAAAATAAAGAAAAATGTGTTAAAATCAGTAATTTACAAAAAAATTATGAAAAGCTGAAATAGGATAAAACTAATTCAAAATTAAAAAACAAAATAAAGAATATTTAAAAATAAAAACTTTTAAACACGCCAGAGCTATTTTAGATAGTACTGCCAGTCCTAAGACTAGAAAAAGTGTGATGGGAAGCAGTTCAGATAATCAGCGCTCTACTGAATAGATAAATTTTACAACTAAAAATATTTAAATAACTTAGTAAATCACTAGAGCTAAAACTAAAACAGTAAATAAATCAAAACGGTATTTCTAAATCACAGGTTTCAACAGAAGCTCATATTTTAAAAAACAAATTCATTTGTGTATTAAAAAAAACTATTTTTATTTTAAAATATGCACACATAAGTTATTTAAAAAGACAAAAATTTATTGGATTTGGAACTAACACCATTGACAATTTTCAGTGATTATCATAAAATTATTTGCACTAATTAGAATATGTATACATATGACTTTTAACACTATCTACATCACAGCAAGATTTATAAAAAAATAAATATATCATTATAAAATTTCTTTTATAAAAATGTCCTTAAAATTTCCATTACAAACAATTTTTATTTCTTTGAAAATTAGAGTACTTTATCATAGTTAAAAATACAGATCAATAAATAAAACTTACTAAATAAAGATATTATCAAAAATAAATGTATCAAAAATATATTCAATAGGTAATCATTACATTACATTGTTTATTTGTGGAAATATCCAGAGTATCAATAGTTAAAGTTGGTATAAGCTTCACAAAATATAAGCATAGTTTAAGCTTATATTTTGTGAAGCTTAATCCAGAATACTACAGAAAATTACAATATATCAAAAAATACTTTGTTGTAGCTGATTAATGTAAACCATTTGTGTATGTCACCAAAATGTAAATTTCTGTATTCTGTCGAGAATTTAAATCAGCTGTTACTTTCCTTTTTTTTTTTAAGAAAAAGAAGAAAGGAACTTTTTTTTCGAGTGTAGAAACTGCATAAATAGGAGTTTAAAAGTTGTAGATGACGGAAATTACGAGTCTTTCCTGTACCTTAGCTTTATATTCAGTACAGTCAGAATGCAATTGTTTTAGATTGACACTATATATGAAATTTTATTACTTTAGAGACTAAAAGTTCCAGATGCCAGACATTTAGCAAGATAATTTGCAACATAAAATAGTTAATTAATAAAATTTTTTGTGTATGATTTATATTATGTTTAAATCACTAATCGAAATAACATGAAAATAATAAAATGTTTTTATGAGTTGATTAATAAGTATATAAATTTAAATTTGTTAAAAAAATATGAACCACTATATAAAAATATATAATGCAAGATTCAATAAATCAACTGTAATAATTATATAAAACTTTTTTAAGGAAAAGCAAAATTTTTTATATCCTAGTTTATAAAATGAAAGTTTACGTACATTTAAAACAAATTAAAAATTGAAAGAAAGCTTTTATTTTTAACATGCATGAAATACAATTTTATCAAAATATGCATGTCATATTCTAAGATCACTTTTTAACATACATATTATATAAATTTTGTCTAACTGCTTATTATATGGAGTGTAATTAAAATATAGAACCAAATAAAGATGGGAGATTGTAAGAAGTATATTAGAAATTATTCAAGTTAATTAATAAAAGTGTTTTTTTATTTATTTTTTGTTGCTTTTATAAGCATATATTTGTATAATTGTTTCTGTTAATTTAATTACTTAGTGTCAAATGCCACTCATGCGTCCTTTATCAAATTTGTTTGCATGTTAATACAATCTAGAAAATCATGACAGTTTTATTGTTTCAAACGTTTGGACTTGAGGGAAATTTTCATTTCAGATATCTTACCACCAATAAATATGTAAAAATTACAGGCTCATTTTTTTTTTTTTTAAGTATTTAGGTTGTCTATGATATTTTTGACAGATTTCTTTTTTATTCTTTTCTATTTCTTTTTTATTTTACGCATTGTTTTTAAAAGCTTGAATGCAATGTAACACATTTAAAATGCCATTCAGTAAAATATTTTAATGTGCTTGATTCATTCACACATGGTCTTTTTATTCATTTTTTAGGGGGGGGGGAGTAACTGGTGAGGGACTTCCATATAGTTTGTTAAAACAAAATAAATTTGATAGGATAACGTTGTAATACACAAATTTAGAGAAAATCATTTCTTTGCATGCTAATTTAATCAGAAATTTACATGTTCTTATTGATGCTTTTTTATTTTAAATATAAATAATATTGCTACAAATTTCAGTACTTTTCCATTTCACCAACACAAGTGAAAAAGTTACCAATAAAAACTCATCGGGTGCAGGTAAAGTCCACTTTTTTATATGTTAGTGATGTCTCTTGAGAAAAAAAAAAAAAAAAAACCAAGTTTACTTTCGCTGGCGTAAAGGAAAAGCACCCAATTTTTTAAAAATCCCAATATTTTTAAAAGTATACCGTACAATTTAATAACAACATTGATTTACAATTACAATTGATTACAACAGTGATAACAATTGATTTAGCTAATTATTTTTTACTTGGTGAAAGTTGAAAAAAGTTTTAAGCGATTTATTTTTGGAATTTTACGAGTCAGGATTCTGGAAGGTTTTTCATCCTTTTTCGTTTTTGATTTTGAGAAGTTCCGAGGATCTGAGCCAATGTCAGTATCCATTTCCTCCAATATCAAATCCACAGCTTTTTCTAAATTGTTTCCCTAAAATAAAAAAAAACATGTTTAAAATTTTACATAGTAAGTTTTTTTTTAAGAAACTTGTCGAGGTTAAAATTATCTAGATATAATATAAATGAAGCTTTTTAAATTATGCTAAAAGCAATAAAAATAGCAATAATAATAAATCATATGAGTAATTCAAAATTAAAACAGAAAAGAGAAGTGCATAATTTACTGTAAAAGAAACAATAAATTTATGCAAGGCAGTTCTAAACAGGATTATATTTTATAACTAACCCTAATACCCTGACGAGCTTGCTTATCACTAAAGCCCATCATTACAATAGCTTCAAGCGCTTCTGCAACATCAGTATCATCTTTTTCATGCTCAGACAAATGAAGTGGCTGATCAAAGTCTAAAACAGAAAAGTATACAAAATAACATTTCATGAAGGCTATCAGATTTAGTGAAGTAAACAAAGAATTAAATTTTAATGCTTTCAAAAATATTTTTTAAAAAACAATTGAAAATAAAAAGTATTTCATAATTGAAATAAAAAAAAGAATTCTACACTAGAAAAATAAATTAGAATAGTTACTGCACTTTTTTTTATTTTTATTTTAAGGTAGTGTTCCAAGATTAATTTTTAAACTTTTCAAGGAGTGGCATATGATTTAATATAGCTTTCATGTTTTTTTAAAAATCAAAATAGAACAAATTCTAAATTTGTAAAAAATTTTCACTGAGCAAAATTTTAACAAATTCATTATATAATCTACAAGCATATAAATTTTAGATAAAAGCAAGATTTTGAACAAAAATTGGGAAAATTTAAAATATCAAGGATATAGTCTATTAAGAGTCACATCAATTATTTTTTCAATCATCATACATCTTACGTTTGATTAAAAACCAAAATTAATTTATAAAAAATTAATATTTTAAAAATTAACATTAAAGTACAAATATTAATATATTATAGAAAAAAAAAAGATTATTTTTTACATAGGTACTATTCAAATTTTAATAAGTCTAAAAAAATGTAACCATATTGCAGCAGAATTTTGACAAGAAATAATAAAAATAGATGTTTAACTTATTTACTTGATACTTATTGTTATCATCAGTTCCAAAATAGGGTATTTCTAGGTTTTTTGCAAAATTTTCCATCTAAAACTTTTATTATTCCCTAACTTTTTACAAATTCTCTGAAAATTCTAGGTTTTTAAGATTCCTTGACCCCATGGGAAACCTATTGATGTTTCTTTCCTACATAATCAACAAAATTCATAAAAAAAAAGAACCCTCTGAACAAGTTCACTGATGATCTTGCTCTAGTTCCATACACTATTCTAGTGAATATCTATCTCATGCTGGATGATTGGCAGTAAAAAAATTAAATTAATAAATAATAGCTGTATTTGTTTAAGAAATAAACTGGGAGTGAGATTAAAGATATAGATTGTCAGTAGATTAATTAGATAGATTGCATCTCAATAGAAATATTTAACAAAAATAATTTATAATAGAGAGAAACAAACATAATGAAACGATGAAAAGCATTTCATATTAAATAGTTAATGTAAAGTAGTTAGTTAATATCACATTTAACCCTATAACACATTTGCCTGCGTCTGACACCAGCAAAAGTTACGGGCAAATTCATGCATGCCCTCGTCTCACACGAGCAATCTTGTAGATCGTGTTATTTTATATATTATGTCCGTCTGAGATCTGTGCTAGCAAAAATGTATAGGCTAGATTTTAATTAAATTAAATAGGCTAGATTATAAATATAATTAAATTTATTTACCATGGGTGACACCACAATGCAGCATCTCGTGTGTAAACAACGCAGTGCATTTTGATGATTAGCTAGCTATAAGTGTGTTATGAATTATTTGTTACAAAAGCGTTGTTTTTTGTGGAAAAGGTAATGTATCCATTTTAATTGCGTTAAATATCATAAAAGTAAATAATTAACCATAAATTAAAGAAAAAGTTATCTGATAATGAGTGACTCTGACGATTTTGAATATGCCAATTTGTCAGAAAGTTTCAATGATGGACTTAAGTTGATTTAATTTGATTTTAATATTTTTAAATACAAAATAAACCGGCTATCAAATGGTTTAAACTTTGTTTGTACAGTAATTTTTTTTAAATAACTTTTACACCAACTCCCGCTCCCTAGTCAGCCTCCACAACTGAAATTGCAAAAAAACTTACACTATACCTATATATTAATTTTCTGTATAAAAAAAAAAAAGATAATTTTTCACCAGTTATTCTAAAAAAAATAAATTTCCTTTGTTATTCTGAAAAATGCTTCAAAATTACCAAAATTGATGCATGAATCAAGTATCAGACTGAAAATGATTTTAAAATAGGGAGATTCTATTATTTAGGAATGTAATACTTGCAGACCAGACTTCATGTAATACAATATCTTACATCCATAACAGCAATTTTTAAGAATATTTTGTACATCTAAAAATTAGAGTAAATGTACATGGCACCAATACTGAATTTGAACAAAAATTATTAGAACTGCTCAAATAATTTTTTTTTAACCGAGGTATATACTTTTAAAGTTTGCAAATGTGACAATTGTGAAATTGTTCTACAGTAAAAAGAAAGATAGTTCTTATGAACAATGCTTTCAATACCTTTATCAGTAAAATGCTTTACAATCCATTTCAGAGCTTCATCAATTTCCTGATTTTGTGTATTATACAAAGCCTTCTTACTTTCATCCGTGGAAAGGCCCATGTCCTTCAGTTGGAAGAGATGTGACTCCTTAAACTGAAATTCTAGAGTAAAATTTCGAAAAATTAAACATTGATCTTATAACTTTTTATTAAGACACTTCTTGATACTTATCAAAAAGTTTAAAATAAAAAGAAATTACCATTAGTTTTTGTAACTATTGAAACAATGCATTATTGAATTTGTTATAATCCTCAATAGAATATAACATGCAGTATGATCCACATTAAATGCACTAACTGTCACAGAATAGTTACAATTTAAAAAATATATAATGAGTAAACACTAAACTATAATATTAAATTAAACATTTAATTAATAATCTATAAATAAGCTTCTAAAGATATATGATTTATTATATGAAAACTTAGAACTAAATACAAATGAGTGTTACCTAACACTAGGCACTCAGCAAAATTAATCGAGTGCGGGTACTCAGCAATAATTGGGTAGTAAAACTTCAGCTAGATACATGTCTCATTCTGATTTAAAGCCTTTCTATATTAAATTCAATCAAGTTTTTAAAAGTGGAAAGTTGATTACCAATGGAGTTTTATCATTTAACTTCAGAGTACATTATCATAAAATAAAACTATAAGTTAATATCAATAAACATAGACATTAATAGCCATTTAAATACTAAGTCAAATTAAAATTGGTGTATTGCTATATACTGTAATTTTTATTGAAACACATCAGGCAATTACAAAGATTACCTTGTAAATCAGTCATGCGTGCTTTTTTACTTGATTTGCCCTGGTCTTCAGTAGGAGGACGTTTCTTAGACTTTGATCGAGAGATAAGATTTCGTAAGCTGCTTGATTTATGACTCACTTCAATTTTGCACCGTTGAGAAGGAACTTTAACTATTATAACAAAAACAATTTAATTTTAATATTTTTCAAAATTAATAGCATGCATAAATGTCAATATTTTAAAGGGAAGAGTTTATCGACTAAGTCAACCTTTATCAAACGGTACCTCAAGAAAAAATCAAGTTAACATGTCTTATATACTAGTAAATTGGTATTTAACAATGGTAGTTACACCACATTACTTCCCTTCCAGACTTTTATCTTTGATAGGATTCTCTGAACGAATACAGCTAGTTGCTTTATGCTGTTTAATTTATTTTTCACTAACTTTTTCCTTTACTAATTTATTGTCCAGGAATTGTGTATTAACTATATTTTTTGAGCGCTATTTTATGTGCTCATCAAGTTGTTGGTTGGCGTAATTATATGATACCGAGTCACCAATAAGAGTTTATCGACAATGACCAACAAGAGGAGAGTTTATCGACCATGTCAATGAGGTGAACCGGGTTTAAATCTCCGCGATGGCAGGTTGTTACAAATCAGCATCCGGCTCGTACCGACCACAGTGCTGACGTGAAATATTCTCAATGTCCTTAGTGGTAGACGGATCATGGGTTAGAGTCCCTTGATCGTCACACTAACCATGTGAGGTCCTCGTGGTCTTCCTTTTCATGTAACGCAAATGCGGGTTTGTTCCATCAAAAAGTTCTCCAAGGAAGGCAGATTTCTCCCAATACTTGATCAAAGAGTTCCCTTGTTTTCTGAATTGGGTACACAATTACAATGCTACGGAGTAGGTTTGGTTATAAAATTAAAAACCTACCAACAATGGATATAAAATTAAAAACTTTTCATTTAAAAATGCACATTTAAATGTTTGTTTTCTCATAATTTTCAGTTAAAAAAAAACTTCAAGTTGTTAATCAATGAAACCTTTTTTTAATTTACTTATTTTTTAAAACAACTTTATGCAAAGAGAATGAATTGTAGCTTGCCGTTAATTATTTTTCAAAAGCTTCAAATTTTCTGTTATTTTGATATTGAGTGAGAATTATAGAGAAATATACACAGAATAAATAGTATAAGAGGGGGATATATTCAGTTATTACATTTTGATAAATTTTAAAGTGAAGTGGCAAGTGAAAATAGTTCAAAACTCTAAGTGCCCTTTGCTGCGGGAAAACACACTGTTGTCTTTTATTCCTAGAGAGAGCTCTGTTGGATTAAATTAAAAAAAAAAATTAAGTGAAAATAGAGTAATTATCTTAAAATTAATAAAATGCATGTATGAACTTGTATACATAGTGAAATGTATAAAATGTAATTATATGGTCTTATAAAATCTAAATACTTACAAAATTTTTTGACTTTTCTCCAGGCTTGTTTAGCCTCTATTATACTTTTCTTACAAATACGATCTTGTAATTTAAGGAAGCATTTTAAATTTTTTGCAATGTGCTTTGTAGCAAAATCAAGAACCTTTTTTCCATAAATGTCTTCAGCATTAACGTCAGATCCAGATTTAAGTAGCTTCACAATTAAGTTTCTATTGCTTTTTTTCACAGCGATGTGCAATAGAGTTTCGCCAGTCTTATTACGGACATTATTCAGAATTTTAAAACCAATTTCGCTTTTGACTTCATTATAAAGCTCAATATTATTAAACACTTCATCAATCAAATTCAATGACTGCTGAATGTTGAGACTGGAAGATAGGTTCATTGGAGTCAGACTGCAATTATTTTCAGCATTATACATTGCACCATTTTCTAGCAGAAAATGAACACCACAAGAGAATTTTGCAGCATAATGCAGAAGACAATTGCTTTTCCTATCAAAGGAATTAATAATCACAGGCAAAATACTTTTATCTTCATTAGTTTTAAATATATCAAGAATATTTTCAGGTTGATCACTTAACATAGTACTAAACAATTTATCGACAAAATCAAGAATATGGTGGATTGGAGAATCTGGAAAGGCATTGGCCAGTTCTAATGGTGTTTTGTTCGTTTCATTTAAGACATTGTAAAAAGCTCCTCTTTGTAATAACTTTTTTACCATAACTAATTCATTCTTCTTGACTGCTAAATGTAGAGGTGTACAACCATTTAAGGTCTTAGTATTTAGATTAATATTTTTACACTCATCAGTTTTCAACAACAATGCAAATAATTTTGAATTTTCATTCTTTATAGCAACATGCAACAAGGATTCTCTCAAATAGTTTCTCGAGTTGAAGCATTCATAAATTATTTTACGATTTTCTATTGCTTCAAAATCTATTTCAGTTTCAGAAAAGCATTTCTCAGTTACTGCCAGTAGGTTCTTAACTTTTTTATTCCTTATTTCGTCCTTTGGACACTTGCCTTCATCATTTTTTTCATTAAAAATAACTCCATCAATCAAGAGTTTTAGGATTAAACACCTATTATCAACCTTAGCTGCATTGTGTAGAGGCGAGTTCCCATACGAATTTACAGCATCAATAGATAAAGGTTGATAGTTTCTAAAAATTTTAAAATTTTCATTTCTCAATAAACACCATTTTCGTTTTTTCCTTAAAAATACTTCATTCCAATGTAAAATTGTTTTTAATGTATCTACATCTTTTCTATCTATTGCAGTATGCAAACATGAATTCTTTTCAGAATTTCGAGCATTTAAAATATAGCGTAGAATATCTTTGTGGTCTTCAAATGCAAAGCATTTTGAATAAAACAGATCTTTTGAGGAAGTTAGAAGTTTTGCAATATTAGCCTTATCATTATCACTCAAAAAACAATAAGGTTTACTCAATTCATCACATGGTGTACAATTATTAAAATCTTTTACATCAAACATAGCACCATGCTGTAAAAGAAGTTGAACAATTTCTAGAGTTCCTACAGCACAAGCCCAATGAAGAGGAGTTTTTCCTTTTGAATCTGATAAATTGACACGATCTCCTCGAAAAATACTAAACTTACAGCATTCTAAGTTTTTATTTTTAATAGCAGAAAGTAAATTATTAGAGTCATGGAATTCAATATGAATTTTAAAATATTTCTTTTCATTTAAAAATATTTCATCATTACGTATTTGTGCCCCACAATCCATGAAAGAATTTAGTAATTTGAAATCACTATCTTTAGAACAAGTATATGGTCTATCAACTGGGAAATCATGGTTAGCTCCTTCATCAATTAAATAGCTTAACAAATGGCAATCTTGTTTGTTAGATAAAGCAACATTTAAAGGTGTTTGATAATCAGAATTTTTCAGATTGATTTCTTCCTGAAATTCAATTGCAAATTTCATTAGCTTTAAACAGGAATTTGATTTTACTGCTAAATGCAACACAGAATTTCCATCAACATCAGGCAAATAGCAATTTTCGTTTAAAAGTAAGTACCAAGCAATAATAAATTGGGAATTTTGAAAGGCAATAGTCAATAAATTAGAGGGCAGAGACTCCTCATTTTGACTCATTAAATGTAAAAAAGTTTTAAAATGTCCGAATTGAATAATTGTCTCTAAAAACTTATCATTGACACGTACTGTTTTATTTAATTTAAAAACATGCTCAAAAAGAAATTTTAAAACTTCTAGCCTCTTATTATCACTTAAGTATAAACTTTTACTGGCTACAACTAAAATGGATTGATCACCTAAGTCACTGGTTATTATATTTCCCCTGATGTCAGAGTCAATAGAATCAAATATATCTTTAAACACTTGTATGTGACCATAGTTAAGGAAGGAACAAAGTAATCTATTTAACTCATCTACACTCAATTTCTTAGCAATTTCAGAACAACAAAATTCAGGAAATTTTTTCACTAGTTTTTCTAAAATTCCCATCACTTCATTTCCCTCGCCTTCAATATATTCATAGTTTTTAAATATATATTTAAGAAATACTGATGCATTTTCAATGTTGACATTTAAGAATTCATAACCAGCTCCCTTAATTAATAACTTATAACCAATTTCAAAATTTTTCTTTTCAAAAGCATAATACAAAGCTGTATGATTTGATTCATCTTTTATGTTAATAAAACTGCTTAAAGTAAGCTTAGAGTTTTTGCTAGGATTTTTTAATTTTTTATTCAAGAGTTTTAAAGAATTATCAGACAAAAAGTGATTTACAACATTTAATTTCCCAAACTTGGCAGCACAGTGTAGAATAGTTTCTTTAGTTTCACAAATCTCAATTAAATTTTCCCTCTTTGAATCTACGATGGTTAGAATAATATTCAAAAATCCGAGTTCAGCTGAAAAATTCAATAATGATTTTTGGCACAATAACTCAGATAATTTTTCACTTTTTTTAAAATTTTTCAGTAAATTCTCGAAAAACATTTGAGACACCTTAGGTAAAAGTTTGTCAATACAAGTAAAAATGCGGCATATTTTATCCCAGTCACTTGTAGATTTAATCAGTTCATCAGCAAAAAACTCAGACGCTAAATATTCCACATAGTTCCGATGGATAAAATGCAGCTCTGGTTCTTTATCAGAAGAATAAACAACTCCTATATTCATTTTCCCTTTAACTACTTTTTGCTTGAACTCTTCCAATTTTGGTTTATTTATTTCAAATAACTCCAAGTCTTTTGGATCATCGACAATATTTTGTACAGCTATGATTTTACAATTTAAAATTATTTTTTTAGAATTCTCTTCAAAATTTTCACCAGGTTTGGATGCATCTCGTGCTAATTTACCTCCAAGATAATTTTTAACGACTATTTCTAAGAAATTTTTATAAAGATCTAAAACATTAAGTTTTTGATTTAGTTTTGTTTTATTTAAACTCTCAATAAAATCTTCAAAACTCTTAGGGTTTGCTGCAAAATCTGACTTGTTTTCATAAAATATCTTACTTATCATATCAACGTGCAAAGGTATGCTGAGGAATTCGCCATCACCTTTAGAAGAAGTAGGCATTTTAGTAGATATTTTTTTAATAAAATCCCCACAACACTTTTCCAACTTTTTTAAAGATTCTTCATTATCAATATCTATACAATTTTCTTTCTTTAATTTTTGTTTCCAAATTTTAT